CCACGGGGAACAGAGGGGGCGGGAAAGAGCGGCAACGCACAGCAGCAAAGCCACAAGTAAAAAACACAACGGGGGGGGGGGGGGGGGGGGCTGAACACAAAGCGCGCGCGCCCAACCTGCATGAAGTTGTAGATCTTGACGACGTTCTCGACATTGCCCTCCCTGGCGTAGGCGTCCATGATGGTGTTGTACGATAGCTGGTTTGGGCTTACACCCCACGCCTGCATCATGCCCCCCAGCACCACCTGCGAAAAAAAAAACACGAACAAAAAAACAACGTGGGCGGTGTTGTTCTTGACAACAGATGTGCGAGAGCTGGTCTCATGTATGGCTGCCTGCCAACACTCGAGTTGGAAACGCGAAAAAAACTCACAAAACAAGAAAAGAAGGCGCGCGGAGACGTTGTTGTCACCCTCAAGTATACGAAATCCTTAACGTGGGACGTCTAGCAATCGTATAACCTCACAGGCCAGCGGGCATCACAAAACACCCGCAAAGCTGTCGGGGGCGGCGGCGGTGACCAATGCATGATCTGCTGCCACCACACACTACAGCAGTGCCACCTTGAAGCGCCGGTAGTTTGAGAGACCACGCCGCACCGACCGCGAGTTAGCAAATAGCGCATCCTTATCCTTCGTTCACGCCCAACCTCGCACATACATAACCTTCCCTTCCGCTTCGCTCGACACATGGAGCGCACTCGAAAACAAACTCCACTGACCCCCGCCCAACCGACGCGCGTACTCTCCCACACCTCTCATGACCTCGGCCACACTTCATCTCCGTGTTCGCTCAAAACACGCATCGCTCGGAAATAAACTCCGCCACTGTACCCCCACCCACGCGACGCGAACAGTCCAATTTTTTCTAACGCCGCGCTCACCTGGAGCGCGAGGTCCATCCTCCCGTTCCAGACGGCCGCTGCCGCGAGCGAGTTGAACACGGCCACGTCCGGCTTGATGCCCCAGTCCACCATCCTCAGTACCACGCGGCACGCGTCGTCCAGCCTCCTCCGCCTCCCGTGCGCCTTTACCACCGTCGCCACCAGCATGCCGTTCGGCCGGCACCCGCCCACGTACTCGCCCAACGCCGGCCGCTTCAACGGGCCCCCGCCCGCCGCCGCCGCCGCCGCCGCTGTGTCTAAGCCCACCGCCACCGCTCTCAACGCCGCCGGAGTGACGCTACCGCCTCCTTCCACCTGCTCGGCGACCGCGCGCATCTGCAGGAACCGCTGTCCCCCGGTCCCCTCCCAAGACGACGCTTCCAGCGCCTCCGCGTCTGCCGTCGAGGGTCCCGCCCGGAGCAGCCGGAAGTCCTCGGGGAACTGGTCGGCTGCCGCCGCCGCCGCCGCCGCCTCCTCCTCCGCCGTGTCGGTGTCCGAGGTTACGCCATCGGCGGTGGCACCGGTGGCACCAGCGGCACCGGCGGCGGCGGCGGCGGCGGCGGCCTTCTTTTGCTGCCTGGCCCTTGCCCTTCCCTTGCCGGAGGTAGCGTCCGGCCACGGGGGGAGGTCGGGCCAGATGATGCCCGTCACCGCGTGGAAGGTGTCGACCGCTTTCTGAGGCTCCTCGCACGACAGGTAGGCCATCTGATGATGGATTGTTGGAACAGCGGGCGGTGTTCGGGACATGGCGGTTGGGAGGGAGGAGCGGATGATGGAAAATCAGTACAGTACTTGCATCGTCTTTTGCGTCATCGATCAATCTCTCCCTCCCGTCCTCACACCATCTCATATTTCTGCGTGCGTTGTCGCTCTCTCTCTCTCTCTCTCTCTCTCTCTATCTCTGCCTCCCTCGCTACCCTCCCCTCTCCCCCCACAACTACCCATCTCACCAGAGCGTTGTTCAGGAACCGGGCGTTCATCTGAACGCCCGCCTTCACCATGCTCGCCAGCAGGTTGTCCACGGCGATGGCTTGCCTCTTCGCCCCGTACGACCGCGCCAGCGCCCCGCACCTCTCCAGCACGATCGTCCGAGCCTCGTCATCCTGGGCGCTCAGCGCGCCCACCGCCCCGCCGCCGCCCGCCGCACCCGCGGACGTACCCACGGCGACGGCGGCGGAGCCTCGGCTTACCCGCCGGCCTCCGTCGACGTCGAAACCCGCGTTCTTAGCGGCGGCGGCGGCGGCGGCGAGGGGTCCGGCGCCGGTGGAGGTGGCCGCGGCGACATCCCTCTCGCGGAAGACCTTGAGGGTGCTATCGATCGTTCTGTCCGTGTCCTGAAGGGGGGGTGGGGGG